CGGCTGCGGCCGCCGCGGCCGCACCTGCGAAGCCCAGCAGACCGCCCGGCGGAAGACCGCCGACCACCGCTCCGTGAGGCAGTTGCTGAGCATGGATCTGTTGCTGCGATATCGAGATAAAAAGCATTTGTAATGGGATACCTCTCACTCCTTTTTCTCTCCCGGTTTCTTTTTCTTCGTTTCCATCGAGCGTGCTTTATATGACTTTACTCCTAATTCATTTTTCGTCGATTAACCGTGCGAGCCACCGGTAACATCAATCAACACTATCTAATTTCGGACAATATTTAGAAAGGTATTATCAATAGATTAAACTAAGAGTTAAAAATTTTTGCGTTTCTTTACTATCACAATGTATCTTGTTAAATTTATGTCAAATCATATCCAATTTGAGTTATTTTTAATCATTTCTGGATCGCCGTTGTTCCGTTCATTGTGTCGTGATTTAACTAAAACAAAAGAGTCAAGAAATGCAGTAAATTTGGTTAAATTTAATTAAATTTATTATTTACCATATGTTAATACGCAGATGTTGTTTGAAACTAAGCAATTCAACCGCAGAAATTAATTTGATTTATATTTTGACATATATGAAAGTTAAGAACAATGAAATATTATTTAACTCGAGAGATTGGGTTACCGTTGCTCCTTTGATATCTAACGGCTGTGTATAATCTCTAATTAGATTCTCGTAAAATTAATCACGTAATTCGTGCGATCAACGTATTAAATTGTTCTCCTTATTCCTAACAACGCGTAATTTTTCATGACATTTTCATCAGCAAAATGTCATAACACGTTACTTTAAGATGAATCTCATTATAAAATGATTCCAAATCATCGTCCAATAAATAACAGAAATATAAACTTAAACCATGTTTTATGCATTAAATGTGGTATAAAATGCTCACCAGTAGCTGTTGGAGACCTTGCTGCTGTTGCTGCTGCAAAAATGAAAAAAAGAAAAAACCGTGTCAAGTTGCACTCAAATAACAATTATTCAATCGTAAGATTAAATTCGCCGATATAGGACGCGAACTATTTAGAGTTAAAAAGAATTTTTTCTGGATACATTTTTACGATCTATCTCATTAGAGCCGATGACTTAGGAAGTTAATGGTGAGCGGCTACTTACCCCGATAATAGCGTTCAGTTCGGACATGGTGACTTGCTTCGCCCTCTCCACGGCATTGGCCACCTGCTGCTGATGCTGCAATGCCATGCTATCATTATCGCGTCGTCGTCACACTCGATTGTGAGATCGCACGGCACGCGTGCCAAACAGAAAGTCAAAGACTCACCTCTTGCGCCAGGAACGGAAGCACTTGCCCGATTATCGCATTCAACCTCTTCGCGATTTCCGTCTGCAACAGTGATGGGTAACATACTTGAAAAATATACCTAAATACAGATACAAATACATGCGCGAAAATGTATTTATATAAAGATACAAATACTTTAAAAGTATCTTCAGATACATATATCAGATACTTTTAAATTACATCTTATATTATACAGGGTGTCCCAAAATAATCGCCAAATATTTCATGGGCAGATAGAGCGACTAAACTGACAATGAGTCGAAAAGTCCTCTACCATTTTGCAATTTTCGCAATAGTTAACAAGATATTAATTATTAAAAATTGTCGAAAATTGGTCTTCAATAATTTTTTACTCAAATACTATCAACTTTACAGAAAAATTGTAACAGACAAAAATTGTTTATTTTCTTCTCATAGAACTCTAGAAATTTTTTATCAACTTTTTAGTACTGCATTTTCTTATTTTTACCAACAAAATAAGAAAGTACGGTATTAAAAAATTTTGAAAAAATTCTGAAAAGATTTTTAGAGAAGAAAACAAACAATTTTTGTCTCTTGTAGTTTTTTTGCAAAGTTGATAGTATTTGAGTAAAAAATTATTGAAAACCAATTTTCGATAATTTTTAATAATTAATATCTTGTAAACTATTGCAAAAATTGCAAAATGGTACAGGACTTTTCAACTCAGTTTAGTCCGCTCTACTTGCCTATGAAATATTTTGGCGATTATTTTGAGACACCCTGTATTTTATTATAATAATGATAATATTTAAGAAACGTACTAAATAAATTATTTATTAATCACTTTTGGTTTTATTGTTTTAAAGACATTAAATCATAATATAATAATAATAAAGTAACTATAAAGATCCTCGTGTATAAAATCACATGTGCTGTTTTTTTGCAAACAAAAACTGTTTTGACACTAATAATTCTTACTATAGATCCTTTCCATTTACACTGATTCTCAGATAATTCTCACTTGTGACGTCGTCATAACTCAGTTGAATGCACGTGTTCCTTTTACATTTTGACAAGTGAGATTTAATTGAGTTTTTGCCTATAATCTGCACAAGATCGAGACCGTGTGCTTTAATGAGTCTCGTAAACTCACTTCAAAAAGTCAGATTCGAACCTGTGTTGTCTGTGATAACTTTTTACCAAACTAAGCAAATAATGGCGTCATTAATCTGAGTATGAAATACTCAGCTCATTTCAGACTCAGTTTCACTTGTGTGCAAATGGAAAGCAACTATTATCACTCTAATTATAACATGATACGGCAAACGAAAATGAAATTGCAAAAACTTGCAATTATACTCTTTAAAATTATTGGAGTGAAATCTCTAAAGAGTAAAATCTTACTTTTAAAAATTGACAATTGAGCCACTTTTTTTCAACACTAGCTTGTTATTCTTTAATTTCATTGTTATTCTTTAATTTCATTTCAAAGATTTTAGAGAGATCGTAAAATGATTTACGATCAAACTTTCCAGACATTTTATTCGTTATTAGTTGTACAGGCCATAATCAGGAGTGACGTTATCACACATATGATAGAATCATGCCTTTGCTAAGGAAATGTATCTGAAAATAAGTTCAGATACTGTAAGGGGGTGTGTTTGTGTATCTCTAGCTACAAATACAAATACTCAAATTTAAATGTATTTCAGACACAAGTTAGATACACAAAATGTACTCTATACATGTATCTAGATGCATACTACCCAACACTGATTTGCAAACACACGACGAATAATCGAATCAAATGTGTTTTCAAATAACAGCTAACAATTTGGGTAATTTATCTTAGCGGTCAAAAGTAAAATAAAAAGCGAATAAAGAACATCGCGATTTTTAAAAGGAAATAAAATACACTTTAATTTTATTGACTGTTGCTTCCAAAGAGAATAATTCCTAGATGACAGATGCATAATTTTTTTTGATACGCGCCGTAAATGCGCGCTTTTAAAAAACATTCCGTCATATCTCCATTTCCGAAAATTAAAGAACAGCACATGTCGTTTTCAAAATGACTGATCCATTTGCAAAATTGAAGAACTGAATTCTATAACAGGATACGTGCGGATTTCATGTAAAAGACGAAATTTGAAAAAGACAACTTTGTGATCGAATGAATAAAACTACGAATTTGGAAGAAACATTTTGAAAAATTCGACATTCGGCTGTGAAATGTTTCAAAAACTTTTTTATATCCTTTCGAAAAATATGTTGGTTTATTCTGTGAAAGTTTAAAAAAAATATTTATATTAGCTAAGATATGACGAGTCGAACACAAAAATGCGTTAAAATTTTTCCTTTTACTAGTTACTTTTTCCGTTTAAAACTTGAAGATAAAAAAAGTTATAAATTTAGTTTAAACACAAGAAAAATGCGCTAGAAAATTTTCAAGAATTAATCATTAAAATCTAAACTGGAGCGATGTCCATAATTAACCCGGCGGACAATAAGAACTTAGCCCGCGAAATCCACGTCTATTTTAGCTGTTACAGAATTCAACCCCTCAATTGCACAAGTAACACGCCGAAAATTTACTCGAAATTTAATGTCGCGTGCATAGGTTTAACGTTACACAGTTATGTTTTGAATAATTCGAGACTTAATTGAGAAATCGAGGCCGGTTGTATAGGGGGTGCGATACGAATTGTGTGTACAGGACACACGTGTCACGGCATTGCGGGGCTACATCGCGGTAATCACATGTCGCATGACGAGTGCTCGACGAACATACATGCACAGCTCGTCGGTTCACCCCTCGTACAGTGGGGTGGCTACTCATTAATGTGCGTCGATCGAATCGGATCGCGATTAAGCTCACGATCGCCACGTGACTTTCACATAACCACAACATGAAAGAAATATTTGTATTTTGTCGCCTATTTATCACCTCTGATTGCACGATGGTAATCGCAAATCAATTTCTGTATTTTCAAATAATTAATTTAACTCTTAGTACACACGATTGGATCATTCGTGTCCTGCGCATTTCTTTTCTCTGAAAAACTAGGCGCACCAAATAATTATTCAGACAACACAAAGTCCAAAATTGAGACATAAGACGTCTTTAGCGCGGATCTGTAATAGGTGTTTTAAGCCTTAAGTCGTAAGAAATTGACCAATTACAGTCGAATTCGAGAAAAATAATCGACTATGATTCGTCCATTTCTTAGGCCTTAAAGCTTAGAACTCTATTGTAGATCCGGGGTTAAGATGTCTTTTAGACGCCAAAAACATCTCGTGTCTTAATTTTGGACATTTTGTGTTGTCTAGATACACTGTTAAATCTTATGGTGTCAAATTAACTTAATGTGAGTCGCCACTGCTCCTACTCAATAATATCGTTATTTTTTACTAAAACAATGGTTATATTTGACACTATACAGAAAGAAATTGACCAATTACAGTCGAATTCGAGAAAAATAATCGACTAGTAGAGTAAAAAATAACGATATATTTAGTAGGAGTAGTGGTGACTCACATTAGGTTAAATTTGACACTATAGATTTAACAGTGTAGTTATAATATTTACATACAATTTTTTTTTTAAATACACAACTTTATAAATACTTTCTAAAGATGAAGTACATCCGGGACATGAATGATCCATCGTACTAAAAATGTACTAAAATTCTTAGTACACGATGATATATATTCTGATTCTTTAATATAGTTAGTCCTACTATACACGATGAATTGCGAATTGATTGAGTCCCGAATCAATTTTCATCACTTTTATAAGTTATTTTACTTTTATATGAAAGTTATTAAGTGATTCTTACATACACTTTAACGTCTTTAGAGAATAGTTATAAAGTTGTGTATTTAAAAAAAGGAAAGACAAAGACCATTATTATTTAGCCAAATACTAGTATTTCAATGAAGGGACAAAATGAATGACCCAATCGTGTGAATTAAGGGTTAAACAGAAATCACTGTACAGTTACATATTTTTTCAATCGACTGAATAATTTCATTCAATCTCAACGACTCGCGACGGTGAATTGGCGAGGGTAAAATCGTACGTTCTAAGTATTTAGTAGCGGGTTTGTATCGATAGAAATGCCGCGCCAATATCGCTCCAGCGATATTTTCACGTCAGAGGAGCTCGGCCGCGTAGATCTAAAAGTTGAGAGACCGAAAAAAATGTCATCGCCCCCACGGGGGAATAGAAAGATGGAAAACTGCCGCGTCCACGTCAGTTCGATTTCGCTCTGTTCGACAGTAGGTGGCAAAGGGGACGGGAGGGAGCGAAGCCGGGGATGGTTAGGTGGGTGTAGAAGAAGGGCGGGCGACGAAAAAAGGTTCGACGAAAAAATGGACAGAGGATGCGAGGGATAGTGTCGGGGATTGCGGG